GGGGGGGGGGGGGGGGGGGGGGAAAATCACACTGCAAATACAAGGAAGTACATCAAAACCAATGGAGACCAAGCCCAGGCATCAGCTGATATGAACAACTACACTTCATTACTCATAAGAAAAAATTTACAAATATTATGTTCTAATGATTTAGCTACTTCTTCCCACCATAATAACCCTTCTCATCATAAGCAACTGCATTATATGCAACAAACAGGTAGTCAGAATATTAAGTTACAATAGGTCTTGGGTTCAATGCTGAAGTCAGCCACTGATCTGAATTCAACATATCTGGGGACTGAGTTCTTGCCTAAATAAAGTTGCAGTTAACATTTCTGTCACGCGCTCTGGGTTATTAAAAAGATACACAGGATGTTAAAGTGCCAATAGGAAAATTACACTGCATAAGTTTCAGTATCAAAAACGTCTTTTCTACTCCACAAACACACTAAAAGCAACATATTTCTTAAAATTACACACTTCTGGTATTTTCTATCCCTTCTGTCAAAGACAAGCTGCAGTCTGAAACATTAATCCCAAATTACCTCTTACCACACCTTACAAAAAGGCTGAAGAAATTTCTGCAACTGTGCTATATGTTTTCCCATTCTGAAAAGTCCTCAAAAAAGAGCAACACTTTCCACACTTTGAATCAAGTAACTGTCTGTTTTCATCCATACATATTTTTCATGTCTGGTTTCTGCAGAAATTAGGTATATCCTACAGTCTAATGATACCTCTACACATTTCCTAAACTCTTTCCCCTCATTGATGCACACAGCAGGTGTGGAATTTACATATGCAACTCGACGGGGGGGGTTCTTCTGTGGTGAACGTACAAAGGAATTAAGTCTTGAACCACTTACAGGTCTTCCTTTTTGTCTTCCCCATACAGCTGAAGCAGCTAGCATGGTGCAGCAAAACAGCAGGGCTCAGGGAATAAGTTGTTGCCATTCATATACTAATTGACTAGTTCATTTAGACATACATTAGAAGAATATCCATGATGCTAGACAAGAAGAATGCCCAGGCAGAGTAAAATTAAACAAGCCTGAGATTAAACCCATATCAGTTATGGCAGTGACAGAAGCGTCAGTTATGGGGGGGGTGCTAAAAACAGAGGCATCTTTGGAGACAGAAGGAGAACCCATTCTACATAATTTTTTACTTGTAAATGCACAGTCAAATCCTATAGGCTTATTTATCTGTAAAATACAACCAATTTTTGCTGCTGGTTGTTGCTCAGCATACCGTCTTCAATAAATACATGGAACTCACTCATCAGGGAGAAATTCTCCCCCAAATCCTTCAGGGTTCATGGCCTGCTTCCATAGCTTCGATTTTTACTCCCTTGCTTCATCCGTTACATTCACCATAACACATTTGTTGGGGTTTTTTTGATGGAAAGAAAAACTTGTTTTCCCTGGTACTCGTGAACAGCTGGGACTCTTAAGTCCTCTGTTGTAGCTTTACAAGTCAACAACAGTAATTTTTATCAAGGACCAGAATATAAGCTATTTCTGCACGTGGTTTCATTAAAATACATTTTACCCCAGGTTTGCTTTGCTTCCACCATTAGCAAAGCACACATTGTACTATTTTATAGAAGATTATTCTGTTTTACTCCCAATCATTACCCCTTTAAATGCAGTTTGTCAGCACTTTGAAAAAAAAAAAAATCAAATTACAGATAAATTATTTTTAGTTTAAAAGCATTAAACTCATTTGGTCCCTTGAGCTGGGTTGAGATGATAGAGCACCTTGCAGGCCAGATCTGGACCCATCTCCAGTGGCAAGGTAAGTGGCAGCAGGGCTGACACAGCCATCACTGGCCTACCACCCTGAAATGCATCCCCAGTGGGACCAGGAATTAAGCCACGGGCCCATCCCTGAAGTCTCAGCCCCTCCAAAAACCCCATAGGCTGGATGACATGGCCATATATGCAACAGCCCCAATTTAGGACATTTATACATTTTCTTGACCAGTTGTTCAAATCAGGACAAAGTTAACCATTGGTTGTGGCTTGTAATTCAACAAGCATTTGCTTACCTTGGCAGTTGGAGAGTCCCATATGGCGAGTCCAAAGTAGTCTTCTTCCAAAAGATTGAGGTGTTCACATACTTTTCTTAGCAGATCATGTCCCTTGGCATGTTTCTGCAGACAACCAAAAGATTCCCTATTATGCACCATCTTAAGCCTTTCCCCTGCTACCCCACAGAAGTCAGAGAACTCCTGAACATATTTCTGAGCATTAAAATAGCTCCAAAACTCCAATTCATACCACCTCAGCAATTTATGGCTGAGGTATTTCTTTTGGGCCAGCAGAATCAGATTCTAACAATCCAAAGCATGGCTGGTATGGAAAAAGAAAGTATTTAGAATAAAAGAAGATAATCCCAAACCTTTTACTCACTGTCCTAAAGGTCACTTCATCTGTGCCTCAGCTTACTATCTGAAAAATGGTTATGCAGAGCATTGTGTAGCTAAAGGTTTTTTTGAAAAAATGCTGCAAGAAGATGCTCTCACTTCAGTGATAGGTGCCAGTATAAAAATGCTAAAACAAGTAGATATTCATTAAGTGATGACCAGGTAGATTTCTGATTTATCTGAACTTTTTATTCTGACATGCTTGTTTTTTCAGAGGCAGTATGTTCTGCTGGTTTGAGCAAAGGAGTATGACCTCTGGGTTCCAAAACTATTTGCAATTGCTGGAATGGACAAGGCACAATGCCCATGTCTGAGAACTCCTTTATAAAAAGGAGAATATTCATCTGTTTAGAATTAATTCTAGAAGTGAAGTATTACATAAATGTAATGTTCCAGGGAGGTTTTCTACTTAAGGCTTTCAGCATAATAGCATTTTCAGCATGAGGACATGCAGAGTACAGGTTGCACTCCTAAAATATTGTAATTATTTGACTATTTAAAACTACTTTCAATGGTACAATATGTTCATGCAGCAAAAATGAGTGAAAATTGTGAGACTGGGAAAAATGAATATGGATTAGACCCAACTACTAAATTCCAGCAAATAGTCTGTAGAAATAATGGACATCTAGATAATTTGAACCTCGGATATTTTGAGACGGAAACAGACTGGCAGAGAGGGAACAGCTGTTCAAGCTGTAAAAGGATTTACAGCTCCAGGGGTAGAGCTGTTACTTGGCAAATCACAGGAGCAGCAAACATTTTTCAGACTTCAGCTTCATGATTGTAGCAGCCTTGCCTGAAAAATTCCTACTTTGCTCTTGGGATCAAACACTATTGCTAAAATTTTGCTCCCTCTATACTCCAATAGCTACTATTCACCTCACTCTTTTCTGGTCTATGAAAGCATCTGGCCAACACTCCTTCAGATATTCTGCAGGAACAAAAAAAAAAAAATGGACAAACTTTGTCCGCATAGGAATAAGAGTCCTTTTATAGTACAGTACAAAAGAAACCTGTCCAGAGCATAAAACTATTACCAGAAACATCTCAGTCTGCTGGAGGCTCTGATGAAAAGGAAAGATTTCTAGGAACTGAAAAGGTCTACGCCCCCACTAAGGCAAAACAAATTTGCTGATGAAAGCTTTCTGCCCTTTTTCATTTTATTTAGTCTTGCCCATTGGTTTTTGTTAAGTATTATTACTGAGTGCTCATATGTACTGGTGATCAAAGAAACATCCCTCCTTTAAAATTAATACCAGTGAGCCCTTGAGAGTGTATAGCTTACTTGAAAAAATATACTGCTCAGGGTTTTTTTTTAAAGAATTGGAGCTAAAACAATTGAAAAATAGAGAGATGTTGGAGGGAATCAAAATTCTACTTTCTGACCAACAGTTTGGAAAGAAGGGTTGGAGAAGTTTATTCTTCCTGAAGGCATTTTGCACTGATTTACTCAGCCACACCTTCGCAACTCTTTCCCATATAAATTTTAACTGGTTTCTCACAAACTGGTGAGATTATGTTGGAAGTAAAGACAATGGGAGTAAGTTGCATCAATATATGTTTACACAGAAGAGAGTGTTATACAATCTGATCTTTAACTTTACCATAATTTTCTGAGTTATATAGTGGAATAGATTTACCTTGTTACCCAGGGTGAGGTAATAGCAGCTGTCATACTGCCTCATGCTATCATCAACCGATCATACAAGTTAAGGAGGAGGCAGAAATCACGAGGAAATATAATTTTTTTTTAAAAACAACCAACCAAGCGCAGCTCCAGGCAGTGGTATATGAAACGTAAAAATAACACACGGTCCAGGGCAGCAGTACTGAACCCATTGCTCATCCACAATGCTTGAAGTTTCTTTCCTATGGATGTCAACTTTATAACCAAGGTCTTTATAGGCTGCGCTCATTTAAAATCCCCACCTTTACAACCCACACATACCCTAAATACTGATGATCCAGTGCTAAAATTTAAGTAGCCAATTCTGTGCAAAAGCAACAGCATCAGTATTACAAACACTGATACAGTGACCTATTTGTACATCCACGGAACTGCTCTGCACAAAAAGCCCCAGGACTAAAACAGACCACAAATGGGCATCTATAATTCTGTAATCTTAACTTAACTAGCAGATTCAGATTTTAACACATTCATGAAATCTCAAGTGCTAAAGATCTGATTTTTTAACATTTGGGCCAAATATTCAGAGACTGAGGTCGAGATCTCTGATAAATGTTTTACTCCTGTCACAGCACGTTATCTGATGAAATAGTATATAATAAAAATAACGTAAAACCAAAAATATTCAGACAGCATTACAGAACGACTGGAGTTCCTTTGATGTGGATTCTAAATTATATACCTGTTTAGTGCAAACATATTCAACAATATGCAAAACATTGTCATTTTGCTATGATTTTTTATGTAGAAACACAAAATGCCTTGTGGGCCATCAATTCTGTTAGTGGGTATTTAAAAACAGCCCACTCCCTCATGAGGGCTAAGTCAAGAGCATGTGTGGACTGCCAGCAATACTACTGTAACCATTCAGTAAGAATTCCTATAAACATTGATGTGAGAATAAATAAATGAAAGAGTTATGCCTAGTAAGCATCTCAGCTAAGTCTTTCAAGATCTGATGTGTATAAACAGGAGGAATTTGATTAACAGAAAAGGACCACAAACAATATTTTGGCAAAAGTTCATGTGGAAGCAATCTAAATTTTTTCTGTGATGAGCTTTGCTGAAATTGTTCTCTGGTTATTAGTCAGCAGCAATGTAATCTTATATTTCTAAGCTATTCTGAGCTGAAAGAAAAGCCTGCCAAAGCACATAAAACCAGCTGACAATACACATTGTTCAACCAAAAGCCAGAAAATATTTAGACATACAGTTGAACCTTAGTAGGATATCAAAATCTAACTGTAGTCTGAAACATCAAGAGCTGGGGGGGGTAGGGGGGCGACACTGATGATAACGTTTTTTTTTTTTTAAATGCCTTCAACTAGCCAAGCATTTTTTTTTTTTTTTTTGGTAACTTCCAAAGTGTCAGACCATTTTTTGTACATTGTAAATAATTATTATAGCTTATGGTATGATTCTTCTCCAACAAAGTTTTGCCATTCACTTCACTAACATGCTATTAGACCCTTATTTATGTGCAACTTTCAGCTTCTCCCATCTGTACATTCTGAAAGAACAAAAGCACTTACATCCATAGTACACTCGAAAATGGTGTCATCCAGCAAAGTAACTTTGCAGTGCATGTTTCTGTGTCTTTTCACTGTTCTCTGGGTGGCCTTTAAGTCTTTGTCTGCCTTTGTCTCCGGGTTCTCTCTTTTCACCTCTGCCCTGGAACACTCTTCCTGCACACTGCTGTCTTCCTTAATCTCAAGGTCTCTGATGTCTGGGTCCTGATCTTCTTTTCTGTCCTCCTGAGCAGGCTGAAACCCCACAATACACACAAATCTATTACTTAAATGTTTCAAGCAAGTAGTGTCATACAAACAGCATATTGATTGAACAGATGTAACTTTAGGTAATTAAAATCCACCAGAGATCAAACTGGCCCAGTTCTCAGGAGTTCAAACCACCAGTGCTTTTCTCTAAGCCTGTAACCTGCTCTCTCTAATCTATACTTTTTTCCTTGAATTATATTTCTGCCCCTGCTAGTTGAAAATAACTGAAATGTAAATCAACATAGTACCATCTCCCTGAGCAAAGTACCTGAAACAATAGCTCTGACACAAGTTGAATAAAGAAGAGTTCAACTGGGTGTTAATTATGAAATCTAATGATACACTAACAGTTACAGTGATTGATTGAAATTATCAAAGCATGAAAGAAAAGAGGATTGATTAAACTGTGCAGGTCTTCATAATCCGTTACTGGCATCTCATTTCAGATAAGTCAGATTCTTCCCCTACCTGAAACTGAATCTTGTAGGCAAGGCAGCCGGCAAATTAGCTTACTCGTGTATTAAAATAACAGACTGTCACACTTGCATGAAAAGAGTGCATGCTTTAGTATTTAGGTACACAGAATATTCTCACAGAAGTGGGACAAAATTCTTAGGTTTGGCAATCATTTAACCTTTGAGCTCGTATTTCTCTAAAATTCAAATCAAAAGACATGGGCTGTAGACTTCATCTTTACCTCACTGACATGCAACACTAGTGTCAGGCAGTGTGAACAAGTGTTTAAGCCAGTGGTGTGAAACCTAAGGGTTTCTTTACAAGACACAGGGCAGGGCTGGGCTGGGCTAAAATACCTGAGCCAGTTCGGAGCAAAAAATGAGCCTGAGCTAATGTAGCGTTCCACTAAGCTAATGATCCCTGTTTCTCAATGGAGCTAATTAACCTGCACCAACATGGCTATACTATCTCTGGCACCTGAGTTGGCCCATCCTTACATAACAATGTATTGTGCGTGCCATATAGACAAAACTAAAGAGAGCTGAATTCCATCCCAGGCTCTGCCACTTGCCTACTATGTGGCTTCCCCTCAAAGACAGAAAGAAAGAAAAAAGAAAGAAGTAATTGGCCATCAATCTTTAGGTGTCCAACTAGAAGCACCCTTTGCCTGACCTCCGCATTTCAAACCCAAGATCCAAAACATATGGCTACTTTTGATTGTCTATTATATCCTTTGCTTCAGTTTTTCATCTCTAAGGTAGAAATTATATCAACCTTTTTAAAGTTTTGTAATCTAGCCTAAAAAACTAAAATCAGAGTTCCTGGAAACCAGGTCTCTCTAATTTTCTTACAATCCTTTAAAAATCCCAGTCTACCCACACTTAGTGCTCAGTGTTAGTATCTGTGGGGCCCCAGAAAAACAGGGTGTAACCTCAGCTGAGGACTCTGAGGTCCTAAACTTTCACTAGGGGCTTACATGCACTTAATGGCCATGTCCCCACGAGCAGAGGTGTACGGTTGCCATGGGGAAAAAAGCAGCAGCACAAATCTGTAACAGGCTAGGACCCCCTGTGCTGGCCCCAGTGGCCTTACCTGGGGTCCTGGCAGCCTCCCTGGGCTGAAGCAGTGGTGATCCAGATGCCCGGAGCCTGGCTGGCAGCTGGACTGTGGCTCTAGGCAGCCAGGCTCCAATTTCAGGCAGCACACATTGCTACCACATATGCCACCCTGCTTTTTTATGGCGTGGGGTTTTTTTTGACACCAGGATTTCCTGGTGTCAAGCAAAACCTACTGCTCTGCAAATTAGCGGTGCAGCAAATGCCTACTTTATCTGTGTCTAAACTTTACTTAATTTACCAAATAATCTTAAGTACGATCTGTCTCTCTAGTAAACCAAGTACAATGAATCTATAACACCTGTTATTTACCCATTTTTTTCTTTTGTTTTCTTACCTGTGTCTCTGCACTGCTGAGTGAATGAAGATCTAAAGATGGATCAGTCTTCAGTTCAGGCTCTGGTGCAGCTATTGGAGCCTTCAACAGAATCTCTTCATCAGGGCTGGTTCCTAAGTCTCTCTCTTTCTGGCCTCCTTCACCTGGTTCCTTTGGAGTTTCAGCTTCTTTGTCGTCTTCAGAGATCTGAGACTTGGGTCTTTTGAGAAACGATGAAAATAGTCGCGACAGGCCCCGACCCTCAGAAGTGCGGCGTTCTTTCTTGCTCTGGTCCTCGTGTGTGGGGGTATCACCGTTGGAGGCCTTCTGCTTCTGCCCAGGCTGATTATGTCCCTCAGATGCCTGTTGGGGAGCCTCTTCCTCCAAAGAAAACTCTTGCTTACGAGTTTCAGCAGCTACGTCTTCCTCCTTTGGCTGTTGTTCCTTAGGATGTTTGGGCTCAGCCACTAAGCTCTTCTCTGTTGTCATGATGAAGCTATAAAAAGAGAGTTTAAAAAGGTGAAAAACTTTTCTTCAGGGTTCACATATGCATTAAGCCGTTGCATGGGGAAGAGCAAACACTAAGAACCATTTATGTACAGCCACTCTTCTCAGGACTGCTGCATCCCAAATACAAAAAAATTTGCCACTGACCATTCACTGTTTAATCTTTCCAATAGAGGCACCTTGATCTCTGCCTGCTCACACATCTTTTATATTAGGGATTATACAAACCCAAACAAGTTTCAGATGTGTTAATAGTTCTTGCATAAAACATCACTTCCTTCCCATGCATTTCTTAGAATTCATGGAGATCACTGCAGCCCTCTTGCTTAATCAAGAGTGCTAATCAAGGAGCGCTACTGCCAAAACATGACAAGAGTGGAAGACTTAAAGATGCAAAAGCAAGTAACAAGGTCAGGGAGGTAGGAGCTTCCTCTGACATGTCTAAGTTTAGGTCCCCTACTCCCCAGGTCAGTTTTTACTTTCTAACAGAACTTTTTGCTTGTACATTTTTGTGGAAAGTAGGGAGGGGAGAACAGGCATGTCATTAAGTCAATTTCTCAGTGACATTCTGCACAAAAAAATTCTGGAGCAGCCACGTACTCCCTTACTGAAATATTACAGCATTCTTTTTTTATTGGCAATAGGAAGTTTCAAAAGGAAAATCCCAAATATGCATTTTGTATTGTCAATAAGACTCTTCAAGGAGGTAAAACAAAACAAACCAACCCCCCTCCCCCCCCGCAAAAAAAAGAAAAACAACCTTAGAGCAAATTTTATAGCCTACCCACAGTAAGTGTCCCTGCAACAGACTAGAGAATTTAATGGTAAATTAAAAAGTGAAAATACACAAATGCAGTAAAATAATCCTCTTCATCTCCTTTACCAAGATAGATTGCTGCACTATTCAGAATTGCTTAGAATAGTATTTACTGAGGTCCAGGTAAGAGATGTATTATTTTAATTATATATGTCTTTAAGCAGTTAAGTAAACCTACTGGGCTGTGGAATTCAGCATACACAAGTTGAGACTTGCACTGGATGGTAAAAACATCACAATTTAAAATTAAAATAGTTTCTGAATAAAATTTATTCTTCTAATGAAGTTTTTTTAAGTGCATTTTGTTCATCTGATGCACTGTTTATTTCAACTTTAACCTAGCCATTGATGCAAAAACAATGAAAGTCACATGAGAAGACTATCTATTCAAAGGGTCTGAGATAATCATGCTTTAGAGGGGATAGAACTAATCTTGGAGAGTTGCATCACATGTTTCTATAGTAACAAGTTATCACTGCTTACATAGGGACCACAAGCTGAAGTCTGTTTCAAGCCAAACTGGCCCAAACCTTGCCGAAACATTTATTCAGCTTCTCACTTAGAATCAAGAAACAGACACGGTGTTGGCTCCCCCATTACGCCATTTAACAGAACCAGAATTTGCCCCCAGTCATTAATTTTTTAAGTCATTTTCTACCTAGAACTAGCTGCCAAAGTAATCAAAATGTTTCAGAAAAAAAGCATAAGAATGCGATTCACCTATTACAAAAGAGTTGTCCTAAAAATGTTAACTCTGTATTGTATGCACCAACTGTTCTGAACACCCAAGGTGCAGAATTTGCTTCGTATTCCAAGTCTCCCAGACCAGTTATGTTGATTCTCCAACATAAAACTCAGTACTGGGATTTCCAGAGTTCTCTCTCTACAGGAATGTGCTGCTCATGACGACTGCCTTGCTAAACACAGTGGATGGAGAAGTCCTCTACTGGCACTAAGTGTGGGGTGGCCATGGGAAATCCAGGACACTGCTGCCCTCCTCACTCCCCGCCAAGGTCAGAGGCACTGCTGCAAGCAGAGGAAGAGGTGAAGACGAGCAGCGTGGTACCTGCCTGCCTCACACACCATGCCTTTCCACCTCCCCACCAGACTGCGTCCCATGCCCCTGCAATTCTGGGACTTTGATTTTAATTTTCACCAACTGGTTGGGACCTGCCTTTGAAATCTGGCATTGTCACAGCCAAACTGGGGACATATGGTTACCCTAATGGATATAATTCTAATACACAGCACTTCAGTCACTCCATGTCAGGGTTCTCCCTAAGGGAATGAGTTAGGTCACTCTTCACAGTCCTTTCTTACAAGGTTGAGGTTGCCAACAGGTCCATTACGCTAAGGGATTTTGAAATGTGAAGTGGTCTAGCAACAGCTAAAATCAAGACTCTATGAAGATACTATTTCCGCTCATTTCCTATTGGCCACTGAACTACCATCAGGTGGAATAAGATTTCATTCATGACTCACCTGGGAAGAATTTGAACTAGTAACTTCTCAGTGAAAGATTATCTGACGCCCAATCTCTGGAGTCCTAACTTAGTACCCTGTGGATATCTCTACCCTCCCTTACCATTTGCCATTGATGGGCCAATACTTCCAACCTACCAATGGTCAAATAAATGTCACCTTAAACTAACTGCTCAGAAGATAACATAATATTAAAATATTTAATGTATTTTAACTCATTTGACATGAATCAACAGCTGACTTTCTCGTTCCCAGCAGCACACAACTGAGCTATCCATGGACCACCAGAAAGCATCTGGGGACCACAGTTTGAGACCCACTGCCCTAAGTTATGCAGTCCATACACAGCATTTCTAGCTTGTTTTGTAGTAGGCGCTAGAAATCAGACTAGTTACCACACTTATCCAGACATAGTGGTATTAATATCAATCGAAAAAAGAAAGAAAATATCCCAACAAAAAGCAAACTAAAGAAGTCTTCACCCATCTTTTCAGACAGGCTTTGAAAAATCATGCATGCCTGGACCCTTTGTTGCATTAGTTTCACAAAGGCTTCAAAGGAGGAAATGAAAGTGTTACACATAAGAGTGAGATAAGGATAAAATAACAATAGGTTTCTGTTTACTTGCATGAGCCCCTGCACCCTCCCACCACTTGGAAGGGACCTAAGCACATCCTTTCATCTTTAAGAACTGTTTGTATTAGATTTCCATCTGCGCTGCTCTTCTCCTTGCCTGTTCACGACAACAGGGAAAACACAACGACCCACTGTTTCTAAGCCTGCATTAAACTGTTTGAGTGAGAATTACATCAGGGAGAGTCACATCTGACACTCAAACTTCTACTGTGGATCCAATTCCCTCAGCTTACAGATGTGTCTTCACCACTGGCCAGCCTCAGTCTCAAAGTCAAGTTTGAGTTACTTCTGGCCTTCAAAAATATTAGAAAAAAGTGACCTAGTTACTTCTTTAACAGACTCTAAGCTTGCACTGCTGTGGCCTAGCTCAGCCCCTCTACCATAGTTACTTAGTGAAGGCCCCTCTGGTATTGGAGATGGCAGACACCTACATCGTCTTGGAGCTCATTCGGCCACCTGGGCTCATAACAGTCACTCTCTGTAGCTCTGAGGGTGCGCTGCCAAGCCTATTTCATCCTGCATGTGCAGGAAGCATGAAGCATAGCTGGCTAGAGGTGATGTGAGTATTTGCTGGGGCTACTCAGGAGCGGGTATGTTACTGTTGCTACCTTATCATCATCAGGGGTGTTGAATTAGTGCATTTATTTTTTAGAAGCCTGGCAAGGGTCCCCTTAGCGTATAACAGCCCCTCTGCAAGAAAGTTAATAAAAATTCAAATAAAATGTAGATAGTGCTATGCAGCTCTACCTTAAAGAGAGCTGCATGGTACTTTCTAAGTATCTGAAAATACAGCTCAGGGGATAAATGTTAATAATTTAAGTGGAGAGGTTCTATATTTGCTTAATGGAGACTTTTTTCCCTGCAAGACATTTGAGATTCATGCAGAAAATTACGGACAGTAAATTTCAGCAGCAGAAGCAACTAGTACTTTTCTCCATTTCATATAGCTGGTTTCTTGCTGGAGAAAACAGCCGTAGTTACTATGTCACTGGGTCTCACTTTGTGGTCTCTATGAGCAATCAATACAGGGAAAGTAGGATGTAAGAGAGGGGGAGACACAAATAATCCTAAAGGTGCAAGACATGATACACCTAGGTCTGCACTGGGACCTCAGCAGCTCCGCATACTCATTCCATTGCTTATTTTCTGTCATATCCAACAAGAGCCCTGCAAGTCTTCTGAGTCTTGTCACACAAAATGAAAAGAAACTGATAATTAAAGCACTTGCAATCCACCTCTAAGTTCCTGAGCTAAATATGAGGACAGGAGTTCAGAAACAGGGAAATGTTAACTAACTGAACAGTAATCTACCAAGCACAAAGAGTGTATCAGGAAAAAAAAATGCACACTAAACTTCCACCAATGGTCAACTTGCTGGGACATCCCATGAAGGGATGGCACTTAATTACACCACTGAGTCAAATACAGGCATATTATGCAAGCATTAATATTCGGTAAAAGAGAATTCCTTTGCTAGGCTGCCAAAACAAACGTGCTTTGTCGTTACTCTGCATGGAACACATTCAGAAAAAACATATTTGAAACCCACACTAAACAGACTAGATGACCTCCTGAGGTCCCTTCCAGCCCTACTTTCCCACCACATAAAGGTAAAACAAGGCTCTTTAGGTTAAGGGGCTGCTAGGAGCAAAGTAAACACAAGAAACTACAAATAGGCACTTCCTTTCCAAAGTCTCTGTTCTGTTTACTTGGTTAGATGTTAACAAAGGAACAATTCTTGTGCAGTCATAGATCATGCTTTTTCCCTAGTACCAAAAGGTGGGTCTTGTTTTTAGATGAACAAACATCTCCATGCATTTCCTTTGTCCCCTGGGATTTATGTCATTCCATTTCTTCTCTCAGGCCAGCATACTTCATAGAGCCAGGAATGTGGAGATGGGTCTGTACAAATACTTCCTCTCACGGCCCCTCCCAATAAACATCTAGTGATCAGCAAAGCACCAAACAGCAACGTGCTGGGCATAGTCACGTACTTGCACAAGACCCTGATGTACTCTGGTCCACCATGCTTTTAGGGCTCACTGAACGCTCCC